GTCAAATGGATTGCTGCCTATCAGCTTCTTCTCAAACCATTCTTGGCAACTGAAATGTCCCATTCCTCCTTTCTGAGCTTTACTCATTCCAGGTCTTGCTATTCCCTTAGTAACAGCAACAATTACTATCATTTATCAAGCTCATGCTACGTGCCAGGCATTAGACTAAGCACTCTGCGAGCACTTGGCTCATTTCATCCTTAAATCCTGTATTGGAAGAACTATCATGGTCCCCGTCTTACAGATGAGGAAACTGAGGCATGAGTAAATTAAATAACACACCTGAAGTCACACGGTAAAATAGTTAAATCTGTTGCCCAAGTCTGAACTCTTTAATCTTTACAGCATACTGCGTCTTTTCTTGTCTCCTCCAGAGATGCGTCTTTCTCCTGTCTACACTGCATGTCTCTGCCATGTGGATCTTTTCACAGTGCATTGTGACTGTTGCAGCATAGCATGGTCATTAGGCATGACTCCAAAGTCAGGCTGGGTGAGCTGGAGTCCCGACTATACTAGTTGCTGGCTTTGTGTGCCTCAGGCAACTTACTTAACTGTAAATTCCTACATCAATAAACTAGCTCCTATAAAGCATTTGATGTATAGTTTATGGAACAACTACCTGAGTTAACCACCTTTGTAAAACACTGAGCATAATGGCACATACTAAACACTCATCAAGTATTACCAGTTATTATTAAAATTCCCCATGCCTCTCCGTTGCCTCCGGTTAAGAGTGTAAGCTAAGTAAAGGAAAGGATTCTCTGCCTTGGTAATTCCAGAGCACTTAGCAAATCTATCCAGCAGATGCTTCCACCAAACTGTGCCTTTGAAGGTTTCAGTTTGGAGATGATTTTTAGGAAATAGTAAGACTTCAGTTATTGAAACTTCACGACTGGAATCATACAATGTGAGCTGAAATGCTGAGTTGATAAATAACTTGTGAATTCTGGGAATAGTGTTCCCAGAGCCCATGCAGATATTTTGGTCAACTAGCCTTCCTACGATACCTGCTCATGAACATTGGGACATTGACATAAGCTGATAGAGCCCCTCCTAGTGTTCTCTATACAGGACACAAACATGACAGTGATGAGCAAAACTAGTTTGAACTATATTGAGAGATGTTGGCAGGGAAGGGGGACGGTCCTTGGAGCATGTTTTATGATTAAAAACACCCCTGATTTTCTATCTATCTATCTATCTACCTATCTGTCTATCATCTATCTATCTATCATCATCTATCATCTATCTCAATCCAGAAAGCAGTGGGTCATATAAACTGCTACAGTTGGTGGTGAATTTCCTTGTAATATAGACTTTTAAAAACTGTAAGTAAAAAACACTTGAAACTTACAGAAAAAATAAAACTGAATACTGTGATCCTTACACCTCTGATTTAACAAATGCTACATTTTACATGTTTGCCGTAGATTTTGTTTTTAAGAAGTAAAATGGTCCAGATATAGTTAAGGCTCCTTTGTGTACCTTCCTGACCCCAGTTTTTCTCCTTCCCTTCCTAGAGGAAAGGTAATATCTTGAAGTTGCAGTTTAGTATTTTCATTCTGGTTTTGTACTTTTACTTTTATTTGTGTATGTCTATGTGCTCCTTATACTATTGTCTTGTTTTAAAACTTTACACAAATGGTATTTACTTTATGTATCTTTTTGCATACCTGTTTTTTTCCAGTTCAGTTTTTGAAATTTGTCTGTGTTGATTCTTACAGATCATTTCCTTAATTGCTATAAAATACTGTTTATTTTTGTAATAGTGATTAAATATTATTTTATTGATAGACTAAGCACTTTGCAAACACTTGGCTCATTTCATCCTTAAATCCTGTATTGGTAGAACTATCATGGCCCCCATTTTTTTTCTTCTGCATGTGCACATCGATATGCTTTTTTCTAGGAATGTTTAGGTTTGGGATACTTTCATGTTTTCAGAAAAAGAGTTATGTTTCCATATAAACCGAAAAGCAGATAACAATGATGCTTTCATAAAATTTTTACATTTCAATATAAGCATTTCTGAAAAAGGAGAACTTATTCTGAAAAGGAGAATTAGTATTTTTGTCATCTGTTTTTTCTGGGGATTGGGACACACATGTTAAAGTGACATTGAATAAAATGGATGACCCACCATAATCATTTGGCACAAGAAGAGCACATCCTGTTTACCTAGAACATTTCATCTGGTTTTGTAAAATCCACAAGTAACAGTGAGCCAGTATATCTGCCATGAAATCAGCAGTGTAGCATTGCCATTGTCGGGAGCTGGACAACTGCATTCTCACATGCAGGTGTGAGATGGGTCTGTCCCTGTCATAGGCAGCAGCAGCCAGAATCTTAACACAAGTTGCTCGTGTGCTCACAGCTGCTGGCACTTCCAGCCCCAACTTCTCCGGCACACGAACAGGGCTTGCTTCTACTTCTCCATGTAGCTACTTTATCCCTTACAGTTAGGACTCAGTGGTTTGCAACCCTAGCTATATAAAAGAATCACTTTGGAGATTAACACACACACACACACACACACACACACACACACACACAAACAGAAAACATGCCTCTTGCCCAGAGATTCTGATTTAGTTGCCCCAGAGATGTGTCTAGGCATTGCTTTCTTTGTGATACTAATGGACAACAGGTGTTGGAATCTGCTAAAACCTGGTCCAGGCAATAGCTTGATCTATCTATAGGATCCTGGCAAAACTGGGAATCCATGTTGCTACAAAGCGGACAGAACCCATCCAAATCATGTTAATTATTCCACAAGCCTTCTAGCCTCACATTACTACCCAAAAATGGGGTTGGAAAGCCAGAGACCTGGTTTTTTTTTTTTCTTATCTTGTGCCCTAAAAAAGATCCAATGTGTGATGCTGGGCAAACCACTTGGTGTCTGAGTCTTTCATTTTTGTGTTGCATAAAACGAGATGGGACCTCTGCTTCCCCTGTGATGGGGTGAAAGAAGGGGCAGTCTCTGCATGGGGCTAGTGCCAGGCAGTATGGTCAAGTGATTAAATGGATTAGCCACACCCAGGAGAGGGATCCGGGTAGGCAAATTTAACAGGATGCTCAAGAAGCACTATAGAATGTCCAAAATTGGCAGGGCCAAGTGGCCTTCTAATTGGGATAGCAAAGCCTTGGACAGGACAAGAAAATACCAAATAACAACTGTAAGTATCTTGTAATTATTCTTGGATTTGACATTGCTTATTTGCAACTTCTTTTTTTTTTTTTTTTTTTTTTTTGCTTATTTGCAACTTCTTTCCAGACCCACCCTCCATGACCCATATCAACTTGTTCATAATGATTTTTTCTTTTTTACTTGTAACATTGTATACTGGAGAAAATAAAAGGTCATTCTTTTACAGAAGGCTGAAAGAGGTAAAAACTGAACTTATCTATTTAAAAAATTTATTATCCATTAAATTAAAAGGGAATCTCTCCCACTTTCATCCTATCTTCCCTGGACCAACCACTTGATCTAACTGGCTTCTAGCTAGCTAAGTGGCTAGCCATTCATCCATCTATCCAATTGGTTCTCCTTTCCTTTTCTTTCCTCCCTCTCCTCTCCTCTCCTCTCCTCTCCTCTCCTCTCCTCTCCTCTCCTCTCCTTTCCTTTCCTTCTTTCCTTTCTTTCCTTTCCTTCTTTTCCAAAACAAGGTTGCTTTTGATGGCCGTTAGGAGGGAAGGCCAGACCTCCAGTTGGAAAATCTAGAGTTTAGTCTGTAGGAAGCTATTATTAATATTATTTGCCAAAGCCAAAATCAACATAAAAGTAATAATGATAAAAATGAATAAAACTGCTTTGGACTTTTCTAAGTGATAAAAGAGCTGTTCAAAAAAAAAAAAAAGAGCTGTACACACACACACACACACACACACCTCCCCCCATGTATCATTTTATATTTTGGTGAGAGAAGATGCTGTTAAAGATCGATAAATGAATCTGACAATGGTAATTTATTGTACTCTGTGCCTTGGCTTGTCCTCAGAGCTGAGAAGACAGAAATAACTGGTCCGATGCACAGCACACTACTGATGGGATAATTGGGGAGAGGAGAAGAAAAGAGTGGGTAATGGAGGGTGTTAGAGATATTCTAGTACAGTAGGAATATCTTCATGTGCTACTGGTACAATTCAGACATGAAAGACCAAAGCCATGAGCCCTTTATGAAAGGAAGAACTGAGTGCCAGTGAAGTGGCACAGCCTGGCTTTCTACAAAGCTTAAGAAAACATGGTTTAAGCAAGCCACACATCAGAGAGCCTTCCTCCTTCTAGAATGCACAAGACAAGTCTGCTCAGTTTCTAAAGCCAGCACTTTTCTTGACTTCCTTCCCAGCACTGATTGTAAACACTTTCCCCTGGGTTATGGGGGAGAGGTGACAGTTTAACATTTCGGAGATCACTCCTTGTCCGGAGGACTGCCTGGGAGCTGAGAGAATACTCGGTGCTGCTTCTACTAAACATGGTGTAGCTTCTTGCTTTGTCAGCACAACTGCCACATGGCTGCCTGGCCATGGAAACACTCATGGCAGCATTGATGAATTCTCTGGTCTTTATAGTATTTTCTGGCTCAGGGATGGGAAAATTCCAAGAGAGAAAGAAAGAAGAAAAGAAAAGAAAAGAAAAGAAAAGAAAAGAAAAGAAAAGAAAAGAAAAGAAAAGAAAAGAAAGAAAAGAAAAGAAAAGAAAGAGAGAGAATACAAAAGGAAAGCTCTCTTTATTATAGAGAAAACCCTTAAAAGATGCCAGCTGGTTGAATGATGCACAATCTCCCCAAACACAGTCTCATCAATTTGGCCAACAGCCTGCACAATGCTCTTGACCAAATATGCTTTACTCTGGCAACATACATGTTAGAGCTACACAAAAGATGACCAGGCAAAGAGGATAATAACTGGACGATGTCTTAAAAGGAGGGTCGAAGTGACTGAGGTGCCACTGAGGTCTTGCTACAGAGGGAGGAGAAGAACAGCAGGAGAATATGCGTTACCTGTCCAGCACCGCCGTCCCCAGGCTGGCTTCTGCTCTGATCAGACGACTAAAACCATCCAGGTTTCCACTATGAGGCCATCTGCCCCGCAGTCTTCAAGGAAACCTACACCCGATGAAGGCAAAGCTGAGCAGGATTCATTGTGAGGGCTCGGGCAGGACTGGCAGCTGGGTGCCCAGCTCGGCCTCCCCTCTCTCCCGCGCCTCCCCTGCCCGTGGTGCTCCTCCAAGCCTCACAGCGCCATCCGCAAGAGGCTCGCTGCTGTTTGAAAAACAAGAAGTGATTTCCTGGTCTTCTTCCCCGGATGGCGTGTGCGATTTCCCTTACGCCCATGGGAAGTCCTTCAGATCCTTCTTATCTAGAAACCTCTCCACCGAGTGGCCAGACTTGTTTGGCCAATGCCCCTAGTCCTGGCTTTGCTTTCACCAAAGAAAAAATCAGAAAAATGAAACTAAAGCAACCCCCAAATGGGTCAGAGCTAAGATGTAGGATGCCTTGTTTAAACCTTCGAACGATGTTCTCTAAATTAGATTGTGTTTTCAGAGTGGAAGGAAAACAAATTATTGATGAGTCCTTGTGTCTCACAGTGTCAAGAAGTCAGAGAATTAAAAAAAAAAAAAACAATTCCTAGAGTATGAAAAGACCTAAAGCTGCCATTAGCCTTAGCCCTAGACTTCAGAGAGAGAGAGAGAGCCTGTACTTCCAATCTGCCACATGAAGGGGACTGCTGGTTCTCTCAGATTTCTAGGAAAACTCTATGGATATTTATGTGACAAATGCTGTGATGCTTAAAATACCATCTTGATAACAGCACTAATATTTAAAGATAAGAAGATGCATGGAAAAGGGCCAGTTGGTGGATTGCATTCAGGTCATTGGGTTCTGTTTTTGTTTTTGTTTTTTTAATAATTTATTTATTTGACAGAGAGAGAACACAAACAGGGGGAGTAGCAGGCAGAGGGAGAGGGAGAAACAGACTCCCTGCTGAGCAGGGAGACTGACACGGTGCTCAAACCCTGGGATAATGACCTGAGCTGAAGGCAGATGCCTAACCAGTTGAGCCACCCAGGCGCCCCAGGTCATGGGTTTAAAGACAAATTATGATCAGAGGTGTTGACCTGGAAGTGACCTCCCCATCCTCATTTTAGAAGTTAGGAAACCAAGACCCATGGAGGAACAGTGACTTGCCCAAGGTCAGAACACAGATGACAAGCAATAGATGCCCATTCACCTGTTCTTATACGTGAGTGTGGGGAATGTTGTTTGATTTCCTACTCTGCACTGCGACCTGTGGAGAGAGGCTAGTGAACGAGGCCTGGACCCCAGGAATCTGCATTGTGAATTAAGTCTCCAGTTTGAGTCTGATGCATGTAGTCTCCAAACTGTGTTTAGAGAGACCCTTGTTTTTTTTTTTATTTTTTTTTAATTTATTTATGATAGTCACAGAGAGAGAGAGAGAGAGAGAGAGAGGCGCAGAGACATAGGCAGAGGGAGAAGCAGGCTCCATGCACCGGGAGCCCGACGTGGGATTCGATCCCGGGTCTCCAGGATCGCGCCCTGGGCCAAAGGCAGGCACCAAACCGCTGCGCCACCCAGGGATCCCTAGAGAGACCCTTGTAATGTCACACCAGGACTCTGGTGTTGAACTGTAGGGATTCAAACGATAGTCTCACAGGTTTCTATCTCTGTGGCCTTTCACACATTACAGGACTCCACGGAGACTGGGTTTTGTTTTGTGTGATAGTGGATAACAGTACCACTGAGTTCACAGGCTCGAGTGTGAGCCTGGCAGAGAGGAGGAGCTCTCTGGGGACCTGGGCTCTCATTCTACAAGCTCATACTCTTTTCCTGTTCCACCCCCAACTTTCTCTCCTTTTTGCTCACCTTCCCATCTGCTCAAAGACATCACCCTTAGGCATGCTGACAACTACCAGTGGTACTCAGGCTTAAGACAAAAATGAAGAATTTTGACAAAAAAGAGGATGAATTTCAAGGAGGACATGGGCAGTGATGAGCACTGGGGACTATGTGGACACACTGAGTCACTATATTGTACCTTTCAAACTAATATCACCCTGTATATTAACTAGCTGTAATTTAAATAGAAACTTTAAAAAAAATAAGGAAATATAGGCCATCCCAATCAGGTGGTGACTCTCACTTGGAAAAAGGAACAAAGGAGGATGAACCTCCACAATGTCATTCTACTTCTCGGCACTGGTTCTCAACTGTATTCTCTAGTCCACTCCATGTCGTTGTTAGGACTTGGTTGGACAGTTTGGTAGTCAGGGCCCCACAAAGAAAATATGGAGTCAGGATGGCTAAAATAAAACAGCACTGACATCCTGTTTTGCAGCCCAGACAGGACAGCACTAGCATTCTGTTTCGCAGGCTTTGCAGAAACAACTTCTGCAAAATGTCCTAAAATAACCACAAAGCATTTGTCAATATCCCAGTCAAGGGGCAGTTAAGACCTAAGCACCGTGATGTCAACAACAACAAAAAAAACATCAGCACACGGACAGCAACCTAGTAGGTAGACAGATATATGACCAAAGATCTGATGGGCATGACTTGGCAACCATGATGGTTTAAGATAGTTCTGCAAAAGAGCTCATAGAAATCCCTAACTCCCAGAAGGCAACTTTCTCGGGGACCTCCTCTCTCTCCGGGAGTGTAATACTATTGCTCAATAAACTTTGCTTTGCTGTCCACCACTCTTGGTCTGGTCTACCCCTTCATTCTTTGAAACGGGGTGGCCAAGAACCATGGGCACTAAAGGCAGAGAAATCCTGAAGTATCATCATTGGGAGATTTGGTGTTTGCCCATCCCAGCTGACTCTCCAGGTCCTCCTTGCCGCAAGCCCAAGTGTGGCTGGGGAGCTCAGGGAAGGGAACTTGCTCCCTAAGGCCAGGAGTGCATTGTGATTGGTCTAAAGCACACTGGTCTCATTCTCCTGGCTGGGCAGCGGAGCTTGCTTGGACATGAGGCCAGTCGTGGATGCACATTACCTCTGGATTTGCCTTTAGGGGCACAATAAAAATCCTATTATGTAACCCAGTTCCAGTTGGGTTTTCTGTTATTTGTAGCTAAAAGCTAAAAATAGTAATGTGGTGAATCACCACGAAGAATACATCTTTCGAGTCTATATAAAATACTACTCTTGGCCTAAAAAAATATTAGGAAGAACATTAAAGCACATACTCACAGAGCCGGATGGCTTCAATTGTATTCCAAAATATTCCAAATTAATTTCCCGTGTTAGGTATTTGAGGTATTAACTTTTTCTCTAGGAGATGGGCAAAGATACCCCAGTTTCTTTCTTATACTAAAAAATCTATAATATTAAATATAAGTAGTGGAAGAGCACCTCAGTCTTGAAATCCCAGAGTAGCCTGGGGTTGAGGGTATGGACTCCAGATCTGTCCACTAGTGGCTCTGTGGAAACTCAACAGGTTATTTAATCCTTCTGTGCCTAAGTTTCCTCACTTGCAAAATCAGAGTAACAATAGCACCTACCTCAGGGTTGCGGTGAAGATTAAAATACTTGTAGCAGTGCCTGGCATGTAGGGAGCAGCTGTAAGTATTGGCTATTGTTATCTCTGCCAGAAAGAACCTTTTGCAGTCAAAATAGCTACCTGTATGGATTTGATAGTGTCTCCGCCTTTGCTTTCTGCTAGGTTTGCCTATAGCTCAGCAGAGATTGGCCCTTTAAAGAAGCCTTTGAAATATATCTTGTCTTTGTCATGAGATGTGTTCCTTTGGGAGTAACTTGAGTGCATGGGGATAAACGTAGATAAATGACACTGGCTATGTTGGGGAGGAATGAAATAAAACCAGGGGACACTGGACATGAATGTGGTAGTAAAGGACACTAAAAGAATTTTGCTGGCTAACCGCTTTGGAAAGTAACTGTGGGACAGAACTACATGCCCAGTGGCCAGTTAGCCCACTCTAGGAGAAAGGGAAATTTCCAGACCTCAGTACTCACAAAAAAAGTAACAGTGTTGGGGAGCTTGACTTCCAAGTCTTTTTGTTACTCTTTTTGTAAATACCAAGGTCTGGCCTGAAGAAACATCCTGCCCTCCAAGCAGCTCTGAGCTCTGGGGGTAAATGCTTCTTCTAAAAAGCTCTGAGATTTCCTGCTTGGGTTGGGTTGTGGATGGGCTGTGGGTGCAGCTGGCTTTCTGACATGGAATGGGGCGTTGCCAAGGTGGCTGTCCCTTCACTTCCCTGAGGACCAATTCCTCTCTCACCCACAGTCCAGTTTGTTGCTAGGAACATTCTGTGCTTGTCCACTCACTTTACAATGAAAACAAAGACAAATAAAAAATGGAAACACCATATGGTCTCGGCTGCAACCCAGGATTAGCTGCTGATGGGGAGACTTTGCCCTGTCGCGGCTAAGGCGTCAAGCAGCTGTGACAGAGGTACCTCTCCTGCATTCTAAGATGCTGGAGTCCATGGCAAGTCAAACCCAAGCCTCTTCCAGCAGGTTGTGGTGGTGTAGCCAGAGTAAGTAATTCACCAGTCATGTTAAATGTGTTTGTAGGCATGACATTTCCCTTAGGACTTGAGGGTATGACCTCATTCTGTACAGAGCTGTTTTCTCAGACACAAAGGTTGGCACCAAATTAACACATATTTCCAGCATGCTCCAGGCTGCTTCATGGCCCAACCCTTCCCTCTTGCTCACCTAGGTAATTGTTAAGTCTCCTTTTAAGTCATAAATGTTATTTCTTCCAAGGACCCTCCTCCACTCCCTCCCAACCTGAGACAAGTGTTCCTTCCCCCCAGACCCATAATTCCAGGTACATGTCTTTTTGCAGTTACTACATTGCATCTGAATGATTATTTTAATGCATTGATTGTAAGCAGCTGGAGGCAGGGACTAGTCTTATTTATCATATGCCCAACAACTAGTATCCTGCTGGCACATAGTAGGTGATCAATAAAAGCAAAAAGAAAATGAAACTGCTCCATCTCATCCATTGTTCGTCCTCCCTCTTCACATTGGCGTGTCCCATGGCTCAGTCCTTGCAACTCTTTGCTAACACTTATTTCCCAGGTGGGCTCCAGCATGGTTTAAATCTTTGTGCTGATAACTTCCAAATACACATCTCTATCACAGACCTCGCTCCTGAATTCCTGACCCATATATATCCAACTGCCTACTTGATATGTCTACTTGGATATTCAGGAGGCTCTCAAAACTGAACATGACCGAAACTAAAGTCCCGATCTGCTCCCCCTCCAACAG